GTTGATGGACACTTAGGCTCTTTCCATGTTTTGGCTATTGTTGAGAGTGCTGCTATGAACATTGGGGTATATGTGCCCCTATGCATCAGCACTCCTGTATCCCTTGGGTAAATTCCTAGCAGTGCTATTGTTGGGTCCTAGGGGAGTTCTATGGTTAATGTTTTGAGGAACCTCCACACTGTTTTCCAGAGGGGCTGCACCAGTTTACATTCCCACCAACAGTGTAGGAGGGTGCCCGTGTCTCCACATCCTCACCAGCATCTAAAGTCCTCTGGTTTGCTCATTTTAGCCACTCTGACTGGCGTGAGGTGGTATCTCAGTGTGGTTTTGATTTGTATTTCCCTGATGAGGAGGGATGCTGAGCATCGTTTCATGTGTCTGTTGGCCATCTGGATGTCCTCTTTGGAGAAATGTCTGTTCATGTCTTCTGCCCATTTCTTCACTGGGTTGTTTGTTTTTCGGGTGTGGAGTTTGGTGAGTTCCTTATAGATTTTGGATACTAGCCCTTTGTCTGATATGTCATTTGCAACTATCTTTTCCCATTCCATTGGTTGCCTATTAGTTTTATGGATTGTTTCCTTTGCCGTGCAGAAGCTTTTAATCTTGATGAGGTCCTAATAGTTCATTTTTGCTCTTGATTCCCTTGCCTTTGGGGATGTGTCAAGTAAGAAATTGCTGCAGTGGAGGTCAAGGAGGTTGCTTCCTGCTTTCTCCTCTAGGCTTTTGATGGTTTCCTGTCTCACATTCAGGTCCTTTATCCATTTTGAGATTATTTTTGTGTGTGGTGTGATAAAATTATCTAGTTTCATTCTTCTGCATGTTGCTGTCCAGTTCTCCCAGCACCATCTGTTGAAGAGGCTGTCTTTTTTCCATTGGGTACTCTTTCCGGCTTTGTCAAAGGTTAGTTGGCTGTACACTTTTGGGTCCAATTCTGAGTTCTTAATTCTATTCTGTTGGTCTATGTGTCTGTTTTTGTGCCAATACCATAAGGACAGAATACTTTCATTCCAGTTATCCTAATGAAGAACATTCCTTATGTTTTCATCTACCTTTATTGAAGTATAATTTACATATAATAAAACTCACCAATCTAAGTGTACAGTTTCTTGAGTTTTGACAAATGTATTCAGTCACATAAACATTACTACAATCAAGGTACAAACTATTCCCATCCCAGAAACTTATATCTTTTTATAACCCTCTCCCCCCCCACACACACACCTTAGGCCCTGGAAACAACTATTTGATCTGCTTTCTATCACTATAATTTTGCCTTTTTATAAAATTTCATATGATTACAATCATATAGTAAGAAGTCTTTTGTATCTGGCTTCTTTCACTTGGCATAATTCTTTTGAGATTCATCTATATTGTTCCAAATGTTAGTAATTTATTTCATTTTACTGCTGCGTTTTATACCATTATGTAGGTTATATGACAGTTGTTCATCCATTTTTTTGTGTTTTTAATCTATTTTAGGATTTATTTAGGATCAAAGACAATGTAATCATCTGTTAATTTGTGAGAGCTAAAAAACATGGAGAGTATAGATAGAAAAATCACCAGAATAATCTTATTTCTTTTATTCATTTATTGTTGATGAGCAATTGGGTTGTTTCCAGTTTGAGGCTAGACTGATCAAAACAGCAGTGAACATTTTACTTATACCCATCATTTATATTGGAGACTATTCATATTTTTCAACAGCTTTGCTGAAATACAGTTTACATAACATATTCATTCATTTTAAGTGTATAATTTTTACTAACTTTATAATTGTGTAATTATTACCACAACATACTTTTAGAACATTTCCATCATGCACCAGAAAGATCCATCATGTCCATTTGCAGTCCGTTCATTTTCCTGCCTCTAGCTCTAAGAAACTGATAATCCATTTTCTATAGAGTTGTGTTTTCTAGATACTTCCTATAAATAGAATCATATAATATGTGGTCTTTTATAACTGACTTCTGAGGCTCAGCATATATTCATAGTTCATTCCTTTCTATAGCTGAATATGTTAGGTATTCCATTGTATGGCTGTGCCATGTTACGTTAATCCATTCAACAGCTGATGGACATTTGGATTGTTTACACTTTGAGGCTAGTATTAATAATGCTGCTAAAATATTTGTGTAGAAGTATTTGTGAGCACTTGTGTTTTTCTCTTGGGTAGAAACCAAGGAGTGAAATTCTGGGTCATATAGTAATTTAATGTTAAACTTTTTAAGAAAATGCCAAAACAGTTTTTCCAAAGTGGTTGCACCATTTTACATTACTAAGAACAGTTTATGAGGATTCTAATTTCTCCACATCCTCACCAATACCTGTTATTGTCTTTTTATTATAACCATTCTCGTGGATTTGAAGTGAAAATCTCATTGACTTATAAGCATTTTCTGTCAATGGCTCACTTTTTCATTTCCTTAAATGGTGTCTTTTAAAGGAATTTAAGTTTTGAGAAAGTCCAACTTACCAACTTTTTCTCCTACAGTGATTTTGGTGTTGTATCTAACAACTCCTTGTCTAATCTAAGGTCAAATATTTTCTCATGTTTTATTCAAAAAGGTTTATGTTTTTTCTCTTATATTCTGGACACGTTTCTCATATATTTGTGTATGTTATGAGGTAAAATGTTAGCTCTAAATTCATCTTTTTACATGTGGCTATCCATCTGTTCAAAGTACTACCCTTGGGGCATGCGGGTGACTCAGTTAAGTGAATAACTTTTTCTTTTGGCTCAGGTCATGATCTCACACTCGTGATTTCAAGCCCCACGTCGGGCTCTGCACTAGGCATGTACCTTGCTTAAGATTCTCTCTCAGCCTCATCCCTTGCCCGTGCATGTGTGCGTGCTCTCTCCCCCAATCCCCCCAAAAATAAATAAAATAAAAAATAAAATAAAAATAAATAAAATACTACCCTTTCCCCCACTGAATTGTCTTGTTACCTTTGTTGAAATCAATTCACCATAAGTATAAAAGTTTACTCCTGACTCTAAATTATATTCCATTGATCTCTCTATCCTTTTGCCAGTACCAGACTGGTCTGATTACTGCAGCCTAAAAGTTTTGGTATCAAAGATTATAAGCCCTCCAACTTTGTTCTTTTTAAAGATTATTTTGGATATTCTGAGTTTCTTAAATTTCCTTATAAATAACCATCTTAGGATAAGATGGGTTTTCTCTGGGGGGAGAAATCTCTGGACTTTTGATGGAGATTACATTTAATCTACTGATCATTTTAGGGAAAACTGCCATTTTAGTAACATTGACTCTTCTAATCAATGAATATAGAGTATTTTTCCACTTATATAGATCTTTAATTTATTTCAGCAGTATTTTGTAGTTTTCTGTGTATACATTTTATGCTGCTTTTGTTAAATTTCTTCTGGAGTATTTTGTTCTTTTTTATTCTATTGTGAGTAAAATTCTTGATTTCATGCTCAGTTTTTTGATGATATGTAGACATTCAATTAATTTTTTAATATTAAGTTTTACATTACATTACATTGCTGAGCTTGTTTATTACTGCAACAATAGAGTTTTGGTGGATTCTTTAGGATTTTCTAAATACAAAATCATGTCATCTGAATAAAGACAGTTTTACTTATTCTTTTCCAATCTGAATGCATCTTTTTTTCTTGCTTGATTGTGCAGGCATTTGCTTTTCATTTCAAGTAACTCTTTCTGTACTTTGTATTTACTATACAAAAATAGTTTTTATTTTAAGAATAAAAGTGATTATTATATAAAATACAAAGATAATATTGTTTAATTATGATATACTGGTAATTTTGTTAAACTTCAACTTAGAGTAATTACATATCAGACTTTTTATGATATAGCTTGTTTGAACTAAGTTTATGGGCTCAAACTTACATGTCTGTTTCAGAGATACAACAAACAGTGAAAATTTGCCTCCAATAATGCATAGTTTAGAAGTTCTTCATTTGGGCTATAATGGAATTTGTAATTTAATTCAGCTACAGCTTAATAGACTAAGAAATTTAAAATTCCTCTTTCTACAAGGTGAGTAGCCACACTGTCAATGTGCTTATTATTAAAAATTGATTTTGATAATCCTGCATGAACATTTACTTAAAACAGATTGACAAAAATATTTTAGTAATCACTAATGGGGTTTTCTTTGGTAATTCACATAAATAATGTAAATGCAATATTCTAGGACTAGAGAATATTGCATCTGTGCCCCTAGAAAATGCAATGTTCTGGGGCTATATATGGTATTATATCATAACTTACTCTTATATCCTATTCAGTTAAAAAAACAATAGAAAGTAACCAGTGAGAAAGTCACAAGAAATTATTAAATCCAGAATTGGGCTAGGTACTAAGAAATATACAGAAGCACTATATTATTGTAATTACATATAACTAAGATCGTCGATCTAAAGTAGTTTAAGATCTACCTATGGAAATATACTGAAAGAAAGATGAATCAGTTCCGAGTAACTATCCATTACCAATTTAAGTGCAGTAAGTTTAAAGAAAAGATAAATTGAAACATATATGGGATTCTTTGAAAGACTGATAGAATTTAGATGGAAGGTGAACATGACCAACAGTTTTGCAAGTAGTGGGGAGAAGGGTCACAAGAGCGCAGCTGTGGTGTTGATGGACCAACACTTGGAAAGGGACCAACCTGATAAAAACAGAGTGTGCACTTCTCTGAGAGAGTTATAAAGCTCTAAACATGATCAATTTGAAGTATACTGCTCATTTTGCAATTAAAAATGGGTAAGAGTTGTAAATCTTTAGAAAAGTAGAATGAGAAAAAAACAGTTTGAAATATTAGTCTAACAATAATTATTTAATGACACTGAAGAAAGATTGGAGGATCCATCACTGAGATATGTGGGGAGATATCTCTATAGTTGATCTGAGTATAGTAACTTTTTTCTGAAAGACAGGCTTTTCTAGACCATATTTTAAAAAATTTAGTGCATCTTTTTGCCTATCAAAGGTGCTTGTGAGTTGTGTCAAGACCATGGAGACTTAGCCTTAAAAGAACAAGAAATTGAGCACAAAAAATTACAGATTTTTAAAAAATACACAGATGTACAAAAAAAATGCAAGCAACCTAGCCCTGGAAAATTTCTTTTAATCTAATAATATAAAAGGGGAGTGTGTTCTCTTGCTATGTCAGCATGGCAAATCAGAATGGAGCAGCCTTATGCAGAAAGTGGGGCAGTTGACTCTGACAATAATGGCTACCACTTATTGATTGGGTCATTAGGCAAAGTACTTGTTTGCATAGATTATCTCATAAAACCCACACAGCAATTCAACATGATAAATAGTTTTATATACATTTTGCAAAAAAAAAAAAAATTGAATCTCAGTGGGGTTAAATAATTTACCTAAGTTTGCACCAGTGAATGGTGTAATACAGAGTCAAACACAGCTCTGGTCTGACTCCAAAACATATGCATTTTCTATCCACATAAGACATAATAAGGATCTGGGCTAGAGTGGTGTCACTGGGAAGGGTGAGTAAAAGGTGACTCCAAAATGCATTTTAAAAGAAGGAAATATTAGGACTTAATGACTAATTAGATATATACGGAGATGAAAACTATTTTTGTTCAAGATGTTTTCATGATTTCATTAGGAGATTGGGCAAAAGGAAGTAATAAAGCTAGATAAAGTCATTGGGAAAGGCTGCTAATTTGCAGTAAGGAATGATCAGGTTGTGTTATGACTATTTGAGATGTAAAAATGGAAATTTTTTAAGCAGTAGTACTGGACCACGGGTCAGGACTAAAAATTATACCAAAGGAGGTGACAGATGGAGTCATAAGTGTATGTGCTTACTGAGGAAGTAAACATAGAGAAAGAATAAAAGGCCAAAAGAGATATGGAGACACCTCTCCCAATATATACATCCCACTAACCCCAAACCCAGAATTAAGAAAGCTGAAGAAGTAAGAACCAATAAAGCAGTCCTATAAGAAATGTTGAAAGAAAACCAACCAATGCAGACCCTAGGCATTTTTTTAAAGTAGGCTCCATACCCAACATGGGTTTCGAACTTAGGACCCTGTGATCAATAGAACACATGCTCTATTGACTGAGCCAGCCAGATGCCCCAAGAAATAGAGACTCTAAATGTCAGAGGAAGAAAGGATGAATGGCCTCAAAGTCAAATGAGGGAAAGAATAAGATCTTTGAAAAAAATACTGGGGCGCCTGGGTGGCTCAGTCAGTTAAGTGACCAACTTCGGCTCAGGTCATGATCTCGCAGTTCATGAGTTCGAACCCCGCATCAGGCTCTGTGCTGACAGCTCAGAGCCTAGAGCCTGCTTCACATTCTGTGTCTCCTTCTCTCTCTGCCCCTCCCCCACTTCTACTCTGTCCCTCTCTCTGTCTCTCAAAAATAAGTAAATATAAAAAATTTTTAAAAAAAGATCTTTGAAAAAAATATTGAATGCAGAAAACTGGAGTAAACAAAAAGAAGAGCATTGATAATCACCAGAAGATCAGATTTGTAAACATGCAAAAAGCAAAAATCAAAGTGAAAACAATATAGAGGGAAGTGGTTCCATGGGCAGTAAAGACAACAGATAGAGGCTGCATACTTGAGGAGCTTGTCCCTAAAAATAAGGTAAGGGGTAAGAAGGTGGCTAGTCAAGTTATGAGCATATTTGGAGGTTTATAAAACAGTAAGTTAGGTTAAAGACCGAACAGAAGGAGATGGTTCTGAGATCAATCTAAAGAAGAAAGAGGGCAAAAGCTGTATAGGGAAGTACACAAATAAAAGCAATGATAAGATGAGGGCTGGCCAAGGTCCGGAAGAGAGAGCTTATGAACCAACCTTTTATCTGCTGTGTTAAATTTGCAAGAAGATGGGGATGGTGAATCTTTGGGAAAGGGCAGAGTAAGGCTGTATGGCATCAAGTTAGAATCTTAAAGATTAGGAGTCAAATTTATCTAAAATTTAACTATTTAGTTGAATAAGTGGGAGTTTTTCAAACAATGATTAATGTTCCTAGTTAAAGAAATGTTAAGACCCCTGAAATCACATTCAGATTAGTTTTGGAGTTTTCTTTCTTAAATCTGTTTAATGAACCTTCTAAAATGAATACTGCCAAAAGTGTGCTGTGGCAGACATTATTCAGTACCTGAAGCTATCCTGAAGCTATCCCATTAGGATTTTTTACACCATTGGCCTTAAAATATTAAAAGTGACTGTCTAAATGCATAATTTCATGAAGGTAATATATGAACACAACTGAGTCTCTTTTCTCAATCTGACTTGAATAAACTTTTTTTTCATTTACAAGCAAGGCACTGGTAAAGTTTCAAAGCCTGTGATTTAGTTCTGTGCAGGGTTGGTCACTTCTGAAGGCCTCTATTTTTGGCTTTTAGATGGCTTCTTTTCAAATGGCCTTCTCTCTATGTGCATCTGTGTCCTAATATCTTCTTATAAGGACACCAGACATATTGGATTAGAGCCCACCCCAATAACCTTATTTTACCATAGCTACTTCTTTAAAGACCCTACCTCCAAACAGCCACATTCTGAGGTACTGGGGTTAGAGTAAAAGGTCTAGGTTAGGCCTGGTGTTGCCACTTTTATGTCCCTATGCAAGTCACTGAATACCTCTGACTTCTCAGTTTTCTGATTATTAAAAAATGATAACATTTTCTCTGTCCTATTTTGAGAATCTATTAGAAAACACATTTAAAAGCATTTTGTCAACTCAAGGGTCTCCTCTTCTTATTAATTATAGTTATTATTAATACTTACAAAGCTATCGATTGCTACAGTAGAGAGAAATAATGAGTTACAGAGAAAGGATTGAGATTTTATAGAATGCAATGCTTCATTCATTTCTAATTTTTTAATGTGGCTATTGTGCAAAAATATGTTGAGAAATAAAGAACAGCATAATTAAGGTTTATTCTTCCAACTTAACAATATAACAAATTCATTTATTTTAAAAAATATTTAGATATATCTATTTGAATACCCATTAGAAAAATCAGATATACTCAAGAAGTATATCTTTTGCAGCACTTTTATACATCTGCTTTTGTCAATACCAACTATTTTAGCACTTAATTACTGAACAGACAGATTGGGTCAGTTCAGCACATTGTATACATCACATCTTGATCTCTCAAACATAAAGGAGAAATTTTAGCACATATTATTTGATGATGATTCTACCATCCTATAAACTACATTTCCATTTCTCCTTGGAAATATGTTCTTTTTAATATTTTATTTGTTAAAAAATTATTTTATAAAAAATATTTAAAGGAAGATAGGTAACCTTTTACTCAAGTTTGGGCTCGCTTGACATATCATAACTTATCTTTCCTCAGGGAATGAAATCAGTCAAATTGAAGGGCTTGACAATTTAGTAGACCTTCAGGAATTGGTAGTGGACCATAACCGCATCAGAGCATTTAATGACAGTGCCTTTGCCAAACCAAGCTCACTGCTGGCACTTCATCTGGAAGAAAATAGACTACGAGAGCTGAGCAAATTACAATCTTTGGCAAAACTTGAGAAACTCTTCCTAGGATATAATAAAATCCAGGTAACATTTTTTGTTTTTTGTTATGAAATTACAAGATTTAGCTCCTCTGAACATAAAGCTTCCAAACACATCAGTGGAAACTTTGCTACTGTGTTAATTATCATTTATATGCCATGTAAATACTCCACGAAGCAGAGACATATAAATAGTCTGTGATGCAAAGATGTTCACTCTGCTTCTAGATTTATAAATCCAACCTATCCCACATGTATTCACCTACTAAAAAAAAGTTAGCTCTAAATGTTCTAAGGCTCCTCCAGCAGTCCTCTCTAAGAGATCTCTTTTGTTCTTGACTGCTCTTGTTCCAAGCTATTTATTTCCACATCTCAATCCCAGACTTCCTCTGGTGCTTTAAACTTGGCATATGTCCTTGGTCTACTTGACACTTGAATCAATTCCTGATAATAGATCTTGACCTGACTTTAATATTCCATCTCTACTGATTCAAGTCTTCCCTATATAAGGTCCTGCTTTAGGACCTGTTCAGAATTCAACCTATTTTCAACAGACACTGTCCCAATGAGCCTGCCCAGACTCTCTCCTAACACAGTATTCAGATAAGAGGGTTGAAGGTATACATAACCTTATACAGCCCTAACATTTCTCTCAGTGCTTTGGTGATGATCTGTTAGCCTCTTTCTTACCAATTTTACTACTTTTGCCCACAATACCTCTAAGACAATCTCAAAGACAAAGTGAAATGTGGATTGTCAGCCAAGAGCAGAGACCAAGTATATCTTGCCCACATTTGATCAGTATATAGCATAGTGCCTAGTACATAGTAATTATGCAATCAATATTTGTTTGTGGCTCTACTTGCTAGAGTTCAGAAAGTCTTTTCTGTAGTGATATAAATGCCTGTTCAAGGCTAGAAGGAAATTGTGAGCCCTGTCCTTTTCTACATAGCAACTAGGAAATATACATACAGAGAAAAATGGCATACAACTACTTTTATCAAAGTTCAAACAACATTTACCTGAGAAAAGCCTTCTAAACTGGCAAGGTTCTTACAAAGTTTTATTCAGAGTACATCTAAACTGGAAAATTGCAACCCAGTGGAAAATCTTTCCACTGACAGCAACTGAGCTGACACAAAGGATTGTCATACCATACTTAACATGAATCAGATCTTACCTAGTACCAAGCTTTACTAATAATTTCAATATCTCAGACACAGTGTCTGAGATATTACTATGGCTTCTCAGATCCTTTCTTTCTACATACTGTCTAGCTTAGATTGAAATATAAGATCTCCAAGTGAGATTTTGTGTGAGAGATTTTTTTGTGAGTGATCTCTTATAACAAGGGAGTGTTTCATTTATGAAATACCTCCACTTTATACTTGAGTTTACATGATATTTTATAGGGAGCCATGCCTGATAATTCTATAGTTTTAGGTTTCTTTACCATAAACATTCCTTAACCAGGGAGATACTGCTAAAAGCGTCTCCATATATAAGGGCCTTCCTAATGAATATTATTGGTCCACTTGACAGCACAGCTATTTACCAGCATAACAAAGAGATTGGACCAGAAAATCTGATTTTTCCCAGGCGTATCCCTGCCCACATCCCCACCCTCCTAAGTCCCTAAAGGAGATGAATGAATGGCAGATCTGCCGTTGTAACAACTTCCTCTCTAGTAATTCAAGCAGGATAATGCCTATTCAAGGTTATTTTTTATCAAAATTTAATATAGAGGCTAATGGACAAACTATATGATAAATCATGGGAACTTATACATATATCAATATATGTATATATACTGAACTTATGTATATATCAGTATATGTAGATATATCATATATGAGTGAAGGGAGGTATTGATTGTTTAGTGATCAGTCCTCTTTTGTTTATTTTTATTCTTGAAGTAGTATTTTTCTAGAACTTAGATTGATCATTATACCATCAAACTTATTTGAACTACCAATATTATAGTACCTTAATATGAGTACACACTTAGCTGGAAAAAGATGAACTGAGATGAGTAAAAAAGTTAAGTTAGAGATTCTGTTTAATTCTACTCAAAATATTGTGTTCTTCAAAATTCTTAACTCTCCATTCAAATTTTCTTTGAGGGTGAGATTTTTTTTCCTCTGGATTCATACCAACATGGGTAGGCAACACCAGCATTAATTTCTACAAATAGGCAATCAGATTATAACCCTTGGGTTGATAAAGACTTCTAGAATAGGAGGGAAAAGGCTTAGAAAAATTTGGAAAACAACACTTCAAATGAAGTTATATGCAGCCCCACCACATTAACCTACTTTAAAATCTTTCATAAACTGTATATCCTTGATAATAGACTCTAGTGTGAAGCTTTTCACTTAGCCATCATGACCCATAATGTAGATTTGGAAAATTGTTGCCTATAGTCCTGCCTTCGTAAGTAGAATCTGAGAAACACAACTGAAAGGTGAGTTATTTAATTCAGCTTTTACAGTACTATTTGAATCCTGTGTCTAAATGATTCCTCTATCAGGCATTTGACAACTATGTCTACTTTTAAACATCTCAGTAATCGCCTGAAGCTGGAAATGACTCCAGGAAATAGTCCATTGCTACTTCTTGCTCTAAATGAAAGGCCCCAATCTAAGCCTAACTAGCTGTTACCTAACTAGGCTATTACCATGATTGCTGAAAGTGCTTATCCTGAAAATGTACTCATAGATAACAACCATTGATGTGCTGGTTAATGTTTAACAGCTGGCATTCCAGGAGGGGGGAAAATCCTGATCAACAGCATTTGCTAATTTCCATGGTATAATTTCTTCCCTCATGACCAAATTCAAGCTAAAACACCATCTTACATAATTCCTGAAAATTTACCAATTGACCTTTTTTGAGCCAGTACTAAGTCCAACACACCATTATAAAAAATACCCTACATTAAAAATGGAACAGGGCACATAGGTGGCTCAGTCAATTGAGCATTTCACTTCAGCTCAGGTGATGATCTTATGGTTCATGACATTAAGCCCTGCAGCGGGCTCTCTGCTGGTAGCTCTGACCCTGCTCCGAATCCTCTGTCCCCCTCTTTTTGCACCTTACTCACTCATACTCTCTCTTTCAAAAATAAAAAATAAACATTAAATAAATAAATAAATAAGAAGCCATTAGCCCTGTTTCCCAATTATGAACATATTAGTTTTCTGAATGTCTCTTTATACCAGCATTATCATCCACAAATTTAACACTCCATTTCTCACATTAATATCTTCCATGAGAAGACATTTTGATTAGAAATACTTCACTACTAAATACTGTTATACTCTGTTTCATTAGAGGAAATGATTGAGAAAAGACTTTTCACATTTCTATGCTTTCCAATCAGGCTTTAGTTCCACAGATAGGAATTACCTGTGAGTCAAACACATAATATCTCTATAGATAATTGGTCAGAACTTTTTCAAAGTCCTCCTAAATTTATGATACTTCTAAGATCAAAATTGCTAAGATCAGTCATTGTAGTCAAATTCCACTTCCAAATGGTCTAAAATAGGTCTAAATTTAGGAGATGAACTTGCTGTGTCTACTTGTCAATCCAAATAAGAATAGGAACATCTCAATAACTTTATTTTATTACTATAAACTAGCAGCAAACTGAAGCTGAGCTTGTTGCCTAAATTTTTACAGAAATAGCATATAAAAATAATTTTGCAAAAATTAAAATGTACTCACAAAGTTTCAGCAATGTTAGACAATAATAAATAATCTCATCCATAGGGAAGACAAGTCATTCAACTAGAAAAATAGTTTTCCAACTATAAATACTCCCAGAAAACATATGAGGATGCAGTCCACTCAATATCATATGTGCCTTTAAGGTTAAGGTTGTGTTTAAAATTATTTAGACTGGATTCACCTTCTTTTCCACACTTCTCAGTCAGCCCTCTGGGGGGATTAACCAACTATAATCTTAGCCTTAGATTATAACTTTTCTGAGAAGAAATTTGGTCTTTTCTTGCAAGTACTGCTGTACAGTTTATTTCCCATATTAGAATATCGTCTTTACCAATCATGCATTTGGAATTAATTGTACATAGATCTGTCCTTAATTAACATCACAGAGTTTCTCACTCAAGCTCACTTTGGAGAATTCAGCCATGAGCTAGCTGCAATTCAACACTTACATATGATTACTACAAATCAGTGTATATTTGAAGACTTGGATCCAACCAAATAATAACTTATTGATTAACTTTGGAACAGGATATGGCAGAACTGGAAAAACTTGATGGTATCTCTTCTCTCAGAGAGCTTACAGTTTATGGCAATCCAGTGAGTATGTTACTTTTCTAATTTATCAGTTAATTTACTTATAGTTGTATATAATTAATTTTTATATGTGAGAATTTTTTATGTTTCTATATGTACAGTCAGTTGTCTAAACACAATTTATTGACTACTGTCCTATTACAACTGGCTATAATATAATCTGCCATTGTCATATATAAAAGGATCTGTTTCCAGATTCTGTGTTGTATTCATTAGACTATTGTCAATCCCTGTACCAATATTATACTTTGTTAGTTATCAAAGTTTTATATTAAGTTTTGGTGTCTAGGAGAATAAGCACCTCCAATTTGCCTTCTCTTCCTCCTTCTCTTTTTCTTTCTTCACTGTCTTGGCTATTCTTGGCCCTTTACACTTCCTAGGAGTTTAAGGAAACAGCTTTTGAAGTTATATGAAAGTCTTATTGACATTTTAATTGGAATTGCATTGAATATATACATTAATTTGGGGAGAGGTGAAAATATTTTGCTTAGCTTCACAAGAAAGCCAATTGGCTGTGCTAACAGATCCCAGAAATAGGAGATCCTGAGCACCCAGTAAAAGGAAATGCTTGAGTGAATTCTTTCCACATACGAGGATAGGGCATTCTCCTAGCAATAAATTCCTTTCCAAGACAGAAAAGACAAGAGCTAAACATGCCCAGTTTAATCTTCCCAGGTTTATCAATTAAGTCACTCTGCTCGTCTTGGTAGAAGAGTGAAGGGGCTGAGAGAGCCCACTAGTGCATCATAGAGCTATTTCCACCAAGAAAGTATTTGTAGTATTTAGGCTTCCCACTCATAAGCATGAATGTCCCCACATTTATTTTATGTTCTTCAATAAAATTTATAGTTTTCTCCTAAAAGTTTTAACCATCTATGGTTTGATTTTTTCTGTTGTTTTAATAGCTATTTTGAACAATTCTTTTTACTAATTATTTGTGGCTGGAGTACAGCAACTCTGATTTTTGCATGGTCCTGATTTTTGCATGTTATTCTTTATCCAGGAACCTTGTTGAACTCTCTTTTTAGTTCTAATGTATTTTAATTTTGCTGGATTTTCTCTGTAGACTCTCATTATCTACAAATAATGACTATCATTTCTTTCCAATCCTCATGTTTTTTTATTTTCTTAGTATGTTGACTAGGACTTCTAGTACAGTGTTGAATAAAAGCACTGATAGTAGGTTACTGACGTCAAGAAATGCTTCTAAATTGTCACTATTAAATATGAGTTTGTTATACGTTTTGGATAAATAATCTTGAACATTTTAAGGAAGCTCCTTTTTTTTTTAAGTTTATTTTTGAGAGACACAGTGCAAGCGGGGGAGGGGCAGCGAGAGAGGAAGAGAGAGAGAATCCCAAGCACGCTCCTCACCATTAGCGTGGAGCCCAGTGTAGGGCTCCAACTCAGGAACCATGAGACCATGACCTGAGTCAAAACCAAGGGTCAGACGATCAACCAACTGAGCTACCCAAGGACCCCAAGGAAGCTCCTTTCTAATTCCAGTTTACTACCTGTTTTTATCATGAATGGTCATTGTATTTTGACTATTTGGCAATTCAGTTTTTCTCTTTAATCTGTTAATATGTAAATTACATTAATAGACTCCAGCGTTAAACTGTCATTAATCTGGGGGCTAAATACTATTTGGTCATGTTTTATACTTTGCTGGATTCAGTTTGCCAATATTTCATGTAGTATATCTTTGTTTATGAAAATAAGTAAAGTTATCCTATACTTATCTTCTTATGTTATTCTTTTAAATTCATCAAGGTTGTTCTTGCCTCATAAAATTAACTAGGAGCTCTCTCTCTCTCTCTCTCTCTCTCTTGCTAGTCTACAAATTAGCTTCTGTAGGAAAAATTTCACTCATTTGTTCCTTGAAGGATAATTACATCGTATCTCTAAAAGAATCTGGGCTCCATATTTTTTGAAGTTAGATTTTAAACTACTTATTCAAATTCTTTAAAGGCTATAAATCTAGTCATGTTTTCTATTTCTTCAAAAGTCAGTAGTGAGAAGTTATATTCTTCCATAAACTTGTCTTTTTTTATAAATTTTAAATGTATTGTTATATAATACTCTCCTGAATTTTTAAAATGTTCTCTATATTTGTGTTTTGTCACTTTTTAATACCCAAATTTGCCTTTTCTTTTTATCTTTTATTCTTGATAAGTCTTGCTAAAGATTTGTCTATTGTATTAATATCTTCAAAGAGCCATGTTTTGGAGTTATCAAATGGTTTATTTGTTTTTTATTTCATTAAGTCCAACCCTTAATTATTTCCCTCTTTTAGTTTCTTGGAATTTACTTTTTTAAACATTTTTAACATTATTATTAAAACTATTTTTAGCATAATACTGATTCTGTGGTTCAGCTTTTGTTTTAGGTTTTTATTTGAATTGTAGCTAGCTAACATACAGTGTAATATTAGCTTCAGTTGTACAATATAGTGATTCCACACTTAAATATTAAATACATCCCCTGATGCTCATTACAAGTGCAGTCCTTAATCCTCATCCCCATTTGACCCATTCCCCCCCACATCTCCTTTATGGTAACCATCTGATTGTTCTCTATAGTTAAAAGTCTGTTTCTTGGTATACTTCTCTCTCTTTATAACATTTTGCTTATTTTTTTCTTGAATTCCACAGATGAGTGAAATCATGTGGTATTTATCTTTCTCTGACTGACTTATTTCACTTCACAGTATACTCTCTAGCTCCATCAATGTCATTGCAAATGGCAAGGTTTCATTCTTTTTTATGGCTGAGTAATATTCCAGTCGTGTTTGAGTGTGTGTGTGTGTGTGTGTGTGTGTGTGTGTGACATTTTTATCCATTCATCAATTGATGAATGAATCGATGTCTGTTTCCATAATTTGACTATCATACATAATGTTACTATAAACATCGAAGTGCATATATCCCTTTGAATTAGTGTTTCTGTATTCTTTAGGTAAATATCCAGTAGTGCAACTGGTGGATTGTCAGGTAGTTCTATTTTTAACTTTCTGAGGAATCTCCATACTGTTTTCCAGAGTGGCTGACCAGTTTGCATTCCCAGCAACAGTGCAAGAAGGTTCCCCTTTCTCCACATCCTCACTAACACCTGTTTTTTTGTGTGTTGTTCATTTTAGCCATTCTAACAGGTTTTGATTTGCATGTCCTTGATGAGAGATATTCAGCATCTTTTCATGTGTCTGTTGGCCATCTATATGTCTTCTCTGGAAAAATGTCTTTTGTACCTTCTGCACATTTTTAATTAGATTATTTGGTTTTTTGGGTGTTGAGTTTTATACGTTTTATAAGTATATTTTAGATACTAACCCTTTAAAGGATATGTCATTTGCAAATATATTCTCCCATTCAGTAGGCTCTCTTTTAGTTTTATTGGTTGTTTGCTGTGCAGAAGTTTTTCATTTTGGTGTAATCCCATTAGTCTATTTTTGGTTTTTTTTCCCCTTGCCACAAGAGACATATCTAAAAAGAAGTTAGTATGGGCAATGTCAAATAAATTACTGCCCTGTGTTCTCTTCTAGGATTTTTATTGTTTTAGGTATCACATTTAGGTCTCTAATCCATTTTTAATTTATTCTTGTGTATGGTATAAGAAAATGGTCTAGTTTCATTCTTTTGCATGTAGCTGTCAAGTTTTCTCAAGCCATTTATTAAAAAGACTGTCTTTTTTCATTGGATATTATTTCCTGCTTTGTTGTAGATTAATTAATCACATGGTTCTTAACTTGTAACCATTGTGAGTTCATTTCTAAGTTATCTGTTCTGTCCCATTGATCTATATGTCGACATTTAGAACATATGATACCATACTGTTTTGCTTACTACAGCTTTGTGATATAACTTGAAGTGCAGAATTGTGATGCCTCCAGCTTTGCTTTTCTTTTTCAAGATTGCGGTTCCATACAAATTTTAGTATTGTTTGTTCTAGCTCTGTAAAAAGTGCTGTTGGTATTTTGATATGAACTGTATTAAAATGCATATTGCTTTGATTATTATAGACATTTTAGCAAGAGACAAAGAAGGGCACTATATAATAAGAAAGGAGACAATTCAATAAGAAGACATAACAATTGTAAATATGCATTCAACATGGGAGGACTCAACTATTTAAACAATTAATAACAGACATAAAAGGACTAACTGATAATAATACAATAATAGTAGGGGACTTTAACAACCCACTTACATCAATAGACATGATCATCTAAACAGAAAGTCAACAAGGAAAGATGGCTTTGAATGATATACTGGACTAGATGGACTCAACAGATATATTCAGAACATTCCATCTTAAAACAGTAGAATACATATTCTTTTCAAGTGAACATGGAACATTCTCTTGAATAGATCACATATTAGGCCACAAAACAGGCTTCACAAAATTCAGTAAGATCGAAATTATATCATGCACCTTTTCTGACCACAACACTATGAAACTAGAAGTCAACAATAAGAAAAACAATCTGGATAAACCACAAATAAATGGAAGTTAAATAACATGCTACTAAACAATGAGTGGGTCAAGTAAAAAAATAAAATTAAAATAAATTTTAAAAATACATGGAAGCAAATGAAAATGAAAACACAACAGTCCAAAATCTTCAGGATGCAGCAAAAGTGGTCCTAAGAGGGAAGTATACAGCAACACTCGTCTACCTCAAGAAGCAAGAAAAAAAAATCTCAAATAAACAACTTAACCTTAAACTGAAGGAGCTAAAAAGGACAACAAATGAAGCCCAGAGCAAGCATAAGGAAGGAAAAAATAAAGTTTAGGGCAGAATAAAAGATATAGAAACTAAAGAAATAATAGAACATATCAATGAAGCCAAGAGGTGGTTCTTTGAAAAAAATTAATAAAATTGATAAACCTTTAGTCAGACTCATCAATAAGAAAAGAGAAAGGACCCAAATAAATAAAGTCACAGATGAGAGAGGAGAAATGACAACCAACACCACAGAAATACAATTATTAGACAACCTAAT